ATTGGTCAAGTTCTTTCATCACAGCCTTATTGCCTTCATCTTTGAATAATTTCAGTCCCTTATTTAGGTAGTATTGTTGGATAAACGATACTCCTTCATTTTGAACTTTATCCTTGATTTGTTGCATAAATCGCGCAATCAGAGTTGCCTTATCTTTTCCATATTTGGCTTTCTTGTCACTTCCAACCTGTTGGAATAGTAGATTGTATTTTGACTCTTTTTTCGGAATCCTTTTCCTTGAATTTTCCTTCATTGAAATTATTTCATTCAAATAACCTTTCAATTTCTTGACTTTTTCCTTTTTTCTCATTGCACTCCTGTTCTTTAACAAATTACACTTTGTTTTCTTTTGATTTAGGTATTGTTGATTATACCTTGGTTGATCCCAATTATTACGATCGGTTGGTCTCATTTTTATTCCATCTTGAACATAAGATTTACCACTCCTGGTTTTCCTTGGACTGAATATGTCTTCTTTATTCACTTCATCATTTTCATAATTATTGTCGTCACTTGATTCGTCCAAATTATCGTCAGATTCATCATTTTCATTCTCATTATCATCCAAATTTGCCACAAATTTGCGAACATCATTGACTTGATTTTCACATTCTTTGATTTCATCTTGAATTTGATCAATTAAATTGTCATTTTCCTCATATGTTTCACGGGTTTCCTCGATTTGTTCTTCATCGTTAAGTGATTCGACATCTTCCTTGTCTTTTTGTATGTCTTCTTCAATTTCTTGAATCTTTTCATGTAAATCTTCATCATTCTGATATTTTTCATTTTGATTGGGATCTTGATCGGAATTATCATCATCATTTCCCCGTCTCAATCGTTCATAAATACTTGCAACACTCCTGTCTTCTGTCTGTTCTTCAACATTTTCGGTGTGCTCATCGTCATAGTTTTCAATAAATTCTTCCGCTTCTTCAAGTAAAGCATCAATTTCATCTTGATCAATCTTTTCATTACGAAGATTCTCATCGCTTCTTTTGTATTCATTTTTGCGTGGAATATATGTATCATCCCACAGTTCATCTGGGTCCACTCCTGCAAGCGTATCACCATCCAATATGATTTCACCATTCTTCCAATGATAAGTACGTAAATCACAAACGCCCTTGTCGTGTGCCATTTGTTCCACAATTTTGATCACTTGCTTGGTGATCGGAAGTACTGTTACATAGGGTCTCGTTACTGTCTTTTTTGTATTAAGATCAAGTAACATATGTCCCGCTTGTATGCTGTCATTCACTCCAAGATAAATACCATCAATTGTTCTTAATTGTTGACTGTTGTTGGTCGTGTGTCCATATCCTTGTACAAAGGATCCAATTTCAGCAACACATTCTTTTGAAAAATCCACCGGTTTTCGTCTCACAATCATATGTGGACTGTAATATTTTGAAATTCCCTCCTTTGCAGGATAAAAGTTAATAACCTTTGTCACATGCTTGAGTAAAGCAATAGTCAAAACCTTGGGAATTGCCTTGAACACCATTTGATGATAGTGTGCTCGGAATAATCCTTTCAATGTTTGATTGCTGCTCTCAATAGTTGGTTTGTGTTCGCCCGGCGCGGCATAATTCATGGTCACATCCATATTATCTTTCACGTCATCAAATACCGGTTTGAATTCGTTGTCACAATAAATAGTTTTGATTCAAAATTCCGCATGATTATAAATGCGTAAAATTTTGTCAATCGACTTGTAAATAGCATCTTTCGTCCGATCTTTCAGTTCAGTGCTGAATCGGAATTTGATTGCTTTGTCAATACTGACAAAAAACGCGACATTGTTGATAAACATAATGTCGATGCATAAATCCAGGTTTGAATTGTGTTTCAGTAGTTCCTTGGGCATTTTGATCCAATCATCAACCACCGCCTTTGGTGTTGGTCACTTTTGTTTGCCCTTAATTGTTGAAACGCTTGGTCCATATATCTTTTCAGAGATATTAACATCTTCCTCTGTAATTGGACAATTTTTGAAAAAATTTCCCTGAATTGCCAACTTGAAAAATCCATTGCGATGTCCAAATCGCCATGTAGTCCCGTTTCTGGTCACAAAGAAGCTGTTCCATCTTGTACCATATTTGACAAACTGTTGACGTTGTCACTAGCTCGTGTGTCAAGCTTACAAACAGAATCAAATACCTGATCAATTCCTTCTTGATAAACTTCTCTTCCCTCAACATTAGAGGCATAATGGAATCCTCCATGAATTCCTTGTAGACTTCCTTCTTTAAAGTCATCTTCATTTGTTTGCAAATGAAGAGTAGATCCACTATCCAAGTGGATACCAGTATTGTTGTGTTGAAATAACATCATCCCTTGTTGTCTTGGATGATTGTCAGTATGTCCTCGTTGAATAAATTGTCCTCCATGGGATCCCTTGTTGGAACGTCCATAGTTCCATTGAGTGTTTGAATCTCCCGAATTATTATCATCACACGTTGCATTATCATCACATTGCATATTCCGTCGATTACCATGACCATTTGCGTCCGAATAATCCCTATATTTGTCCGGTTTTTTCCACTGTTCCCGCGGCTTCAATTTGTCTGCACATTGAGGTGCAACATGATCTTTTGATCCGCATACAAAACACTTGAATTTGTTGTTGCAAAAACTGAGCTCCGTCATTTTGATTGTTGTTTGACTTGTTTTGTTTTCCTTGTCCATTCGAATTTCCTACATTCGAATTCTTCTTCCTGTTATTGTGCTTGTGTTGATTCAAAACATTAGCAGCATTTTCCAAAGTAGTTGGAAATGTACAACGTTGTTTGAAATCCAGATGCTTCAATGTGTACTGCGCCGTCATTCCATCAATTCTTGATTGATCCTTGGCTCTATCAGAATTATACAGAAATCCGGTGGCCATGAATCTTCCCATGATTCTAGCGCTCCACAGTCCCACTACTCAGAGCTGTAGCGTAGACAGGTCTGGTTACCTGAGATTGCGGATCACAAGACTGTCCAACTCTGATCTGCTTCAGGTACTGACTTAGTGTTGTTTGTTTGAAATGACAATACTTGATAGAATACAAATTGATTCAAAGAAATATTATGATGATTACATTTTGACTGAAGTGAAGGATGCACGAATTAATCCAGTATTGAAACGGAACTGCAATACTGGGCAAGACTCGGCGGGGCTTAGGTAAGCTAAGGCAGTAAGACCAAGAGTATCCTGGTAAGACTGACCCCTTTTCCGAATACCGTAGCATAGTGGACAAATTATCAGCAGCCGGTCGGCAGACAGATTAGATTCGACTCTCCCTCACATCCGAAACTTCAACAAATTGCGTCAGCACGGAATGCCTTCTCAATTCAAATTTTATACAAATAACGGGCTTCGCACAATGGATGACAGTGGAAGAAAACTGCGGAGCAGAAACAACCATCAAGTCATCGAAGCACAAGGGTCCAAGCGTTCTACCAACCTTGAACGCGGAAGCGGTTGGCTTCGTATGGTTCAGGTGATAGAGCCTTGGTGAGGTAATCAGCATCTTGAAGTGATGTTTTGATTTCCTCCACGGCAACGGAGTCGCCAGCAATGCCATCTTTGGAGACGTATTGCCAGAACCAGTGGAACTTGTTGAGGTACCAGCGGGTTCGGGAAGTGATGCGTTGATTGGTTGCAAGGAAGTAGCAGCCTTGATTGTCTTCGAAGGCTCGAGCTCGAATGGTGGCAACCATTGGATCGGAGACATTTACCTTTGAGGTAGCTTCGACGAGCATTCGCTTCAGTGGGATCAGAGTCTTCAAGGCATCAGAAAGAGCGGTGTATTCAGCTTCGAGTGTAGAGGATGCGATACTTGTCTGTAGAGAGGATCTCCAAGTAACGGGACAACCAGCCAGCTTGATGACGAATCCAGTGCGAGATCTGACAGAGGTTGGGTCAGCATCAGGTTCAACTTTGAAAAGTCCACAAAAATCAGCGTCAACAAACATATCCAAGGTAAGCTTTCTATCAATTTTGACAATGGTACCCTTGTCACGGGTGCGCTTCAGGTAACGTAGAATTGTCTTGACTGCAGTTGCGTGTGATTGCTTTGGATTGGAACTAAAACGGGCCACTTGACTCACTGCAAAACTGATGTCCGGTCTTGTATTTGTCGATAGGTACAACAACATTCCAACAATGGATCGGTAATTCCACTCTTCATTCATAGGTTCTCCCTCAGGATCGGATCCAAGAGGGCCAGTGGCTGGGGTGCGATTCGGCTTGCAATCGGTCATTCCAGCGGCAACAAGAATCTTGTCAATCAAACCAGTTTGGGTAAGTTCGATTGAACCATCATCTCGTTTGTCAAATTTGATTCCAAGAAACTCATTGAAATTTCCTTCCTTCTTCAGCTCAAATCCAAGGTCGCGTAGTTGGTCGATTAAGCGATCAACGTCTTGGGGATCAGCGGCACCAATTCCTGCATCATCAACGTACAGGACCACCATCATTCCAGGTTTGTAAAACAGACAAGGGTCAATTTTCGATTGCTTGAGTCCACACTTCTCTAGACCTTTCTTGCACGTCTCTGACCAGAAATGGGGGCTTGAAGAAAGTCCATATAATGATCTCTGAAGTCTTAGACAAGTGCCAGGACCTTGAGGTGATACGAATCCGCGTGGCAGATGGATCCACTTAGGAGTTGGAAGCTTGGATTGAACAAAGGCGTTGCTGAAGTCCACAGAAACGGTGGTCCATCCAAGTATCATGCAGAGAACAAGAAACATGCGAACAGTACTCCAGGCAACGGTAGGTGCAAAGGTGTCTTCGTCAGCAGGTCTGTTCTCGAGATCTCCTCTCACACAATATCTTGCCTTGTGCTTCTTAATTTCACCACTTGGGTTACGTTTGACTCGAAACACCCAGGTTCCAGGAATGATCTTGGATTTGGCGTCCGACATTGGGACTTCTTTCCAGGTGAGTTTTCCTTCGAGCTCTTCAATTTCTTTCTTTGCAGCTTCACACCACTTATCCTTGTCATTCGACTTGATTGCCTCGTTGTATGACAGAGTGTCAGGATCCTTGACGGCTCGGACTTTGTACGCAGATGGATAAGAGAAAAGACTCTCTGGAGTCTCAATCCATTCGGTATTGAAAGTGTTGAAGAAAGCAGTGAAGTATCCGTTGTCGTTGTTGGCAGAAGCAAAGTGTCCTTGGGATTCAATGAGTCGATTGGGAGCTTTTCCGGCAGTGGAACGTTTGGAACGGCGAGGTGGTAGGGAAGCGGAAGGCTTAAGAGCAGAAGTAGGCTGTGGAGCTGGTTTTGTTTTTGGCTGTGGAGCTGGTTTTGGACGTGTAGGGGGCTGTGGCATCTCCTTTGGAGTCGCATTCATCTCCCTCTGAGGCGCAGACGGCTGGGAAGGCGGAGCCTCATTCACAGTCTCCCTCAGGAGTGAAGGTAGGGGAGTCTCCTTCTGGAGCGAAGATAGTGGAATTTCCCTCTGGAGCGAAGGTTGCTGATTTGACAATCCGACAGTTGGTGGCATGGTAGTAGGTGGGGGCTTGACGTCCAATGGTTCAGAAGGGCGATGATGTTCAATTTGGTCTCGGACGCGAGACACTAGTGGCGGAAGGTCGGACGGAGCTTGGTCAACTGGAGGTTCATGATCATCATCATCATCCAAGATGTATTGGTAGATCGAGTCTCCAAAGAGCTTCATCCATTCATTAGAACCAAAATCCGGTAAGTCGTCGACACTCGTGGCAATTGTTGAGAACTCGTCATCAAACACAATGTGGAATTGGGATGTGATGGCGCCAGTTGCTGGATTCAAACACAATGGAACTGACGATGCGTGCTTCTTGCTCAATCCAACATAGATTTGCCGAGTTGAGCGGGGTTGCCACCGAGGCAGCTTTTGTCCATCCTGGATCTTCTTTTCAAGAACGTATACTGGGCATCCCCAAACATGAACATCGGCGAGTCGAGATTGAGGCCAGCGGGTGCGACTGATGAGATCATTCGGAGATAGACCTGTGGTTGGATTTGGCATGTGGTTGTACAAGAAGACAGCTTGATCCACGGCAAGGGGCCAACAGTTGGCAGCAGCAACATCAGGCCAATGGATGGCTTGATGCAACATCATTGTTCGCGCAATGGACATAATCGTTTGGATGGATCGTTCGGCGATTCCATTGTGATGATGAGCTCCGACTCCTGCAAGCGAAGAAACCTGTTCAAACTGTCGTAAGTGCTCAGTGTATGCCCTTGATGTGAAAGCTCCACCATTGTCACTCTGGTACTCTGACACAATAACTCCAAACTCTCGACACTTGTTTTCGAAAGCTTCCTTGCCTTGCAAAGTTTCATGAGTGTTGAGATGAACCTGATGATGGACGTGGACGAAACCGGAGGCATGATCCACAAAGATGCATCCACCTGAGAATCGAAGTGAATCATCTTCCTTTCCAAAGGTATGTAGCAATCGTCCTTTTGTTGAACAAACAAAATGATCCACTGACACTTTCTGTCCTGGGAACAAGTTGTCTTTCTTCAGGGCTCCCTCACGATCGCGGACCACCCTTGAGGTCTTTCCAGGAGCTGGACGACGACGTTGCTTGCCAAATTGACATCCTGCACAGAGTGGCAATGTTGTCAGCTTGGAAGCTGCAGCTTGTAGACGTCGCGTCGACTCAGTATGCGCCAATACACCAGTTCAAAGAAGGAATTGAATTTGCTTGAAGTTGAGATGGCCAAGGCGATGATGCCATTTCATCAATTCGTGGGCAGCGGGGCTGAGATTGTGGTTGTTCGAAGTAGTGGTGGTCACAAAGTTGTTGAATTCGGCTTCAAAGTTTGTGGAGTTGGAGTTGGAGCCATGATCGTAGGCAAGAGAGGTAGGTAGGTTTGTTGCTGGGTCAATTGCAACTTCAATTGAGTTGGTAGCTTCATCTTGTCTCACATTGTCCCTTGACAGCAAATCCTTGGTTCCAATCATTGTCAATAGTGTGCTTGATTGCGAGATTTGTTCCAGTGGATAGGCTTGGAGCAGACTGGTGGTGCTGAGAAGTCGAACGGAAGCACTTGGTACGTAGTATGCTGGCACTTTCAGAGTTCTCAATCGTCCGGTCTTGTCAATGAATGACCATCTCACATACCCAACACCGGCAATATGCAGTCCTCTTGCAATCCCTTTGATTCGTAGTCCAATCGGAGCTGGTTGAATGGGTCCAATGAAATCCCTCTTGCATGGAGAAAGAGAATGACTCGCACCGGAGTCCCAGATCACCTTGTTCTTCCGCACTCTGTGAAGCTTCTGATATTCTTCAATGGCTTGCTTTGGATCTATTGCAGCCTTGAAACGTTCCGTAATGTTGTTCAAGTGCGGCGGGACATTACCATTGGCAAAGAATGTAGCTGCAATCGGAGAGGTAAGCACCTTGAGCTGCGACATGGGAATTCCATTGCCAATTGTTGGCTTGTACACTGTGTTCCTTTGATTACAACGTCTCATCCTTTGTCGTCTGATGTTGCAGGAACTAAATGCCTCACTGTGAGGGCTCCAATCATTAGCAGATGCTCTTTTGTTTGGATTGTAGTAGGTCCAACAAGAATACTTGTTCCAGTGTCCCGAAGTTTCCCATGCACCATTGGGTTGATTGCGATACTTCTTGGGCTTGCAACGGGGACAGTGGGCTGAAGGGTGCGTTGAGTTCGGGTCGTCTCTATGGTGGCCACCACAATCCTGCCATGTTGCACTATTTGTCTTCTTCTTACGACTCTTGTTCTTCCAATCATTCCAATTATCTCCCTCATGAAGGGCACTCCAAATATCTCCCTCTCGTGGAACACGACGAAACGAAATAGCTTTGCCAAAGGCGTCAATGTACTGAGAGAGTTCAAAGACTTCTTGAGAGAAGCGATCATGTCGCTGAGACAATGGACGGCGTTTTCGAGTAGCAAGGCCATAGTGACGGGTGTGGCGATGGTTGCTGAAGGACTTGGGGCGACGTTTGCGACGGCAGGACCGAATGAATTGCTTGTACTTCGGTTTTGTCATTCGGAAGGGCTTGAACTCCTGTGGCGACTGGTATCCGAGGAGCTGGTGCTGAAGGTGATGGGGTAAGGTCCCGAATACCAACAAACTAGTCCACAGCAGCGGGGCAAACATGTTCAACCAAGACGCACTGAAAGCTGTGTAGACAGCTGACCATCCAAAGGACAACATTGGCGGGATCTGAGCGAGAAGAGGCTTCAAAACCGACCACTGGGCTCCAAGTTTGAAACTCAAGAAGGACACAATAATCAACAAGGGAATGTTCCGAAGGGCGCGGCGCATCAAGTATTGGAAGACATTCCAAAGAGCCAACGGCGTTTCCATTGAAGGTACGTGCCAAGCCTGCGGAAACATGAACAAGTTAGCTTGCGGCTCACTTATCAACTCCTTCTTTGGACCAGTATGCCCATCCGTGCCGTGGGTAGTAGACCAACGAGTGCAATGAGCACAATACTTCCAAGTCTTTCCATTGACAACCTTCTGTTGGGGCTCACCAGGGCCAGGGGCAATCTTCTTCCAGTTTGTGTCCTCCTTCTTGTTGCCCTTGGGCTTGTTGTTGTTGCCAGCATTCTTACCGCGATTGTTGCCCTTCTTTCCAGCTAAAGGACACACAGGATCGCGGGCCCAGTGACCAGAACCTCCACACT